TGACTCATCAGCTTCCTGCTGAAAATTGTTTATTGCCACCTTGCACTATTTGATCTTCTCTAGAGGGAAATATTTCTCAAGAAATTTATTAGCTAATTGTCCCATGTAGTGAAACTATTTTAAGGAAACAATTGTAACCAATTAACTTGCTTTACCAGACAATGAGAAAGGAAAGATTGTCAGTTTGATAGTATCATTTGGAATACCTTGATATTGCATAGTGTTGGATATCATGATGAACTCAAAAAGAGGATTGCGGGGATCCTCATTATTAGCTCCAAAAAAAACTAGTTCCCCTTGATCAAGGAGCAACGTTGGCTTAATTTCAAATTGAGTTGGGTTGACTAAAGGTCTCGCAAAATCATTGAATTCTCTAGGGCCTCGATGTGCCATGCGATCAGCCATCGTCCTCCTTTCTCGTTGTGGATTAGGAGGATTTGCAGTAGCAATAATAGTGGCAACAACGTCGTCTCCAGGTTATTGATTCAAATTTGCAACAACTTTTTCCATTGATTTGTAAAATGCTTTTATTCTACCAATTTGAATCAATGAAATGAAATATCAAATAATTTTTAATTTTTTTTTTAAATTTTGCATACTTTATCTATACATTAAGAACTTTTAATATAACATTGAATCGTTAAAATTTAATATATAATATAAGTTATTGAGTGGAATAAATTCCGAGTAGACTTACTCTTGAAGTAAATCAATCCCTTATCATACTAATAATAATAATAATAATATGATAGTGTTTGGATGGTTACTTTCTCATGAAAATACTTATTATCGCCTTAATAAAGAATTTTTTATTTTGTTTTATAATATTATAACAATAAAATATATTTATTTATTTTAAATTTTATTTTGTATTAATGTTGATAGTTTGAGCCGATAAGAATGTAGTAAAAAAAAATATTTTAGAACTTAGTTTGTATCATTATTATTTTATAAGTTAATTAAATTACATTTGCAATAAGATATCAAATAATTTACATCTATTATGAAATATTTAAATTTTATAACAATAAATAAATTTAATTATGCTGATCCAATTAACCCAACCTAACTTAACCCGTTTGTGATTGTGTTAAACTGAGATATATTTCAAAACAAAATGCACAAATCCGACCTAACCCAACTCAGACCACTGAATTTTGATCGAATCGAATAACGAATCCATCCAAACTTGGTTAAAGTTGACCAGCTTATACCCTAATCTTAAATTAATAAATTTATTTTTATGTTTTTATGTTAAAGTAATATTATTTAAAAAAAATTATAATAAATTAAATTATATCATATATAATTACTTATAATGGTAAAAATCTAGTTTTATATAATATACGGTCTTGACTTTAAAACAAAATAAAATAAATTACAAATATATTATACAAAAAAGACGATCAATCAAATATTCAGTATTTTTGCATTATATTGTAAACCTCAACGCTAAATATCCTACAATCTATGAAGACTTTGTCCCATATTTGAATTTTGAAGGCAATCCACCATATACTGCAATTTTTGTACCAAATTCGGATTACACAATAATGGTCATGGAGAAAAATTAAAGACTAAATATAAGCAACGAAGTAAATGAAACAAAACTACAGCTACTTATTACAGTACGAAAAAGCGTATATTTGCAATTCTTGACACCAATCTCCTATAATGACTTCCAAAAATTCTTATGTAAATCAAAAAACTCTTCCGACATTCAATGTGTTCCACCAATTGATATGCAGGCCCAGTCACACATATTGGTGTCAAAATAATTTGTTGCCTCTTTTAAAAAATCATAGACATCATACAATTTTCTAGAATTTTGCATTAGTCATCTAAGTCTTATTCATACATTTTAGGCTTCTTACCTGACCAACTATAAGTATAAGCATCTAACTATAACATCAATTGCACTACCCTTTCTCCGTCTAGCATTGTTATATTTATATGGGTCGTATCATTTTTATACCATAGTAGAGGCTTTTTATTATCACTCTGGAGCAACAATTGTATACGGACTCCCTCAAATGAGAGATTATACAATAGGATTGGCTTTATATTGAAACTAATATTGTTTAGTATTATTACACTCTTACACGAGATAATTCAATTCATTCAAAGACAAAAAAAGGAAAAAGTAAGAAAAAGGTTGCGGACCTTTAATATAAGACTAGATGCAAAAGTCAATGAATATTGCTATGTTTTGGTATTTTAGCAGTGCATAAGCAATATGTATAAGAAAATTGTGATCAAATTGTATGTGTGACACGCTAATAGTAGACATTATTATTCAAGATGGATGACCAAAAAGAAACCAAATCAGACAATCAAAACAAAGTAAAATTACAAATAGATTATATAAAATAAAATAAAAAACAAATCAATCCTTAAAACATTGATTTAGCATTACATTGTAAACCTCAATATTACGTACACAACCAGCAATCCACGAAGCTTTCATCCCTTGGAAGTTTGAAGCTAATTTGCCATAAACTGCAAATTTTGTGCTACAATTCAAATTACACGTATTAATGGTGATGGAGAAAAACTAAAGATTGGATTTTAATATTAAACTAAATGAAACTGAAATTCTAACTAGCTAAAGTACAAAACAGTAGGCATTTTTTAAGAGATTTAAATTTTGGATAAGTCATTTGAAAACAATAAATTTCTCTAAATAGAACATGTCATCGAATTTCTTTACAACAATAAAATATCTTTTCTGTCGGAAGTAATTCAATCTATGGGATAAGTCAAGGCAGAAACTAAAGAAATAAGGAAAGAGGAGAATCAATATGCACAATGTTTATCTTGATGAAAGCCGGTATGAGTGTGTTGGAATAAGAGATATACAATGAAGTAAACCAATACTTCTTGGAGTTAGCATTAACAAGGATAAAGAATTAAATAAGTAAATTCTAACAATCAGAGTCATGCCATTGTGTACATTAATTTTAGAAAAAAGGACATTCTTATTTCCATGTCAAAGAGTTATTGGTTTATTTAACTAAAATAGAGAAATAAACACTATAACGTTCAAAGCAAGAAATTATTAGAATTACATACCTACTACCATTTGAGCCACATCTGGAACTTCAATAAGTTCACTTCAATCGTCACAAGTATATAGTCTGTTACTTTGTTCAAGAATCTCATGTAAGAATTTCTCCATGGTGGCCAAAGTAGTATTGGCCCTAATAAGCCCCAAAAGCCTACGAAGAATCCTATCCCCAAACTCATGTATAATGCTTCATAGAAAACTGAATTGTCATCTTCATCATGAATTGCTTGTCCTTTAGGCTTTTCTATTGTCTCATCACCTGGACAACTTTTGTTAAGTTGTTGACCACAAAGACCAATATTTCCTTCAAAACTAGAGGCATCAAATGTTTGCAACTGTCTTCCCCAAGGGATTCTTCCAACGAGATCGTTGTTTGATAAGTCTAACACAGCAAGACGATCAATATTGGATAAAGTAGAAGGGATTTCTCCAGATAAATGATTTCTTGACAAGTCAATAAATTCTAGAGAACTTAAATTCCCAATCTCAGATGGAATTTCTCCATTCAAGTTGTTTCTTGATAAATTTAAAGAAACTAATCCAAGTAAGTATCCAACCTCTTTTGGTATTTCACCAGTTAAACCATTACTTGAGAGATCAATGCTACCCTCGGGATCCCAAAACATATAATCCTGGCCTTTCCACATAAATATCACGCTAGGATCATACTCCTCATGGGTAAACTATCTAATTCGGTAAACACTTTCGATTTCATTTGACGAATCGAAATTCTTTCCTCTCTAGTTACTTTCCTGTCCATCATTGTAGTAAAATTCCTGAGACATGTTGGAATTCCTCCTGACAAGTGATTCCTTGAAAGATCCAAGAGCTGAATTTGGCTTAAATAGCATAGATGTACAGGAACACTTCCAAAGAACTGATTTACTCGCAAGCTCAAGATTTTCAATTGTTGGAAACTTTCTCCAATCCACGAGGGTATCGAACCAGACAACAAATTTTCACTCACATCTAATATATTTAAATCAGTGCAATTCTTCAATGTGACTGATAGGTCTCCAGTTAAATTGTTGTTTCGTAAGGCCAAAGCTTTCAAAGAAATAAGAGTGCCCATGGATTGTGGAATCTTCCCTGACAATTTATTACTGCTTAGGTCAAGATATGTTAAGGACCCTAGATTTTTCCAACAGTCGGGTAGTTGTCCTGTTATTTGATTAGTTGATAAATCCAAATACCACAATTTTCTGGCTGTGTTTCTTCTGCACAAAAATGTCTTTAAATCTGAAATCTTATTTTTGGAAAGATCAATTCGAGAAGCTTGTGACAAAAAAGCAGGAATTTCACCCTCAAGTTGATTTGAATTTAGAACTACGTATGTATGATCATTAGGAAGCTTGATTGGTAAATTTGGAATTTTACCTTTGAGACTGTTGTAAGACATATTCATCTCACTTATAGACCGCAACTTGTTCCAAAACCAATCTGGTACAAAGTCATCAATCCCAGCATTAGAAATATCTAGAAACTCTAATTGAGTTTGAGTTTGGAGCCAACGTGGGAAGCTAGGACCCAACTTGCACGAAGCTAGTCCCAAAATATATAATTGGAAAGGTGGAACCCAGGTAGAACCAAACTTTAGAGACAATGAATTGTCTGTTAAGTCTAAGCTTTCCAAGTTAGACAAATTTGTGAGATGTTGTTCAGTGATATCACCTGTTAACTGGTTATTGGAGAGATATAATTCCTTCAAAGATGTAAAAATTGAAAGACTAGGTAACACTCCAGCAATCTGATTATAAGATAAATCCATAGTCAGAAATACATGTTTGTTGCACCTTGAAGAATTTTGAATGATGCTAGAAATTTCCCCACTCAAATTGTTTTCGTTAAGGAGTAATTTCTGCAATGTGCATATATTCCCAAGAGAAATTGGAATCTCCCCTTGCAAATTGTTCCTGCCAAGGTTTAATTGCTGCAATGTGCGTATATTCCCAATGGAAGATGGAATCTCGCCTTGCAGATTGTTAGACTCAAGGTCAAGAACTTCTAGAGACTTCATTACTCTCCCAAATCCATCTGGAATGGGACTTGTTATCAAGTTTCTACGAATCCATAAGCTCTGAAGATTGGTTGTGAAGTTGGAAATCCAGTGAAATATAATTGATGATGTCAATAGATTAAAGGAGAGATCAAGGGTAACAAGAGAAGATGAAGAATTTTGAATGGAAACAGATGGCACAAGAAAATTTTTTTCACTAAGACTACAATATGCTAGATAAAGTACTCGTAGTTTGGAACTGAAGTTGAAATTTGCTTGAAATACTGATGATGTCATATTATTACGAGAGAGATCAAGGATCACAAGAGAAGGAAAGTTTGGAAAGTGAGGAGACGGCAAAACAATATTATTAAAATAAAGATAAAGCTCTTGGAGATTATGGCTATAGTTGAACAACAATTGAAACGATGATGACGTGAGCCAATTATAAGAGAGATCAAGGATGGAAAGGGAAGTGGAAATGTTGGAATGAGAAGGAAACAAAGATGAAATATTATCATCTGAAAGTTGACAACCCCTTAGCCTCAACTCTCTTAAGATTGGAATAAGCTCACTAATCGCTTGTTGCCAATAGTGAGAGGATTCAATGATATGAAACAATTCTAGGTGAAGAGTTGTTAATGAAGAGAGAGAAGATAGCCACTTTGCATCAGTAATTTTAGGATAAAAATAGGTATACGTAGAAAATTTAAAAGAATGCAACATAGGAAGATTCCCAACCTGGAAAGGAATTCCAGAAAGTGAAGTTTCCAAGAGATGAAGATACCTCAACTGTGAGAGATTTCCAAGTTGATAAGGGATTTCTCCATGGATTTCATTGTAACTTAGATCAAGATAACGTAACCTTGTAAGCTTCCCTAGTTGAGAAGGGATTTTTCCACCTAAGTTATAAGAATTGTAACTTAGATCAAGATAACATAATCTTGTAAGCTTCCCTAGTTGAGACGGGATTGTTCCATAGAGAGAATTTTCTTTAAGATCAAGGTACTCCAACTTTGAGAGATTTCCCAACTCATGAGGAATCCTCCCAGCAAAATCTGACCATGATAGATTGAGATATCTTAAGTTTTTTAAGGAGTCCATGTGTTGTGGGATTTGAGTGCCCCTGAAATCATTAAAACTGAGATCCAAATGTTGAATGTTTTGCAAGTCAAACAATGAAATGATATTGATTGCACCTCTCAAATAATGTGTTTGTGAACCAGGAAGATGAAGCACATGTACGTGACCTGTTTCATTGTTGCATTCAATGCCTTTCCATTTGCAGCAATCACTGTTATTGTCATCCTCCCTCCATGTAGACAGCATGCCAGACCCATCTATGAGGCCATGTTTGAAGTTGAGGAGTGCTGGTCTCTCCTTCTCATTGCATTTCACATGTGATGGAGAGTTGAATCCATGAATGGATTGTTGAGTATGCAAAAAGCATATTAAGATTGCAAACAAGATTTTCACAAAGTAATCACCCATTACAATTTTGCAGATATGAAATTTCTGCTATAAGTGTAAAAGAGCAAACACTTCGAATTATGATTTGTGATGTCTTGCAAACTTGGGGACAGGGTTTAAGTAGTTAGTTTAGTTGCACACGCTACTTAATTTCTATGCTCTTAGTCTTCATCGACTATTCCCAGTCAAGCAAGCAAGAAAGTTGAAATCACAAAAAACTGCTCAAGCCACAAAATAAGATAATATGGAAATAAAGATAAATTGAATGACACAATTACCTCTTTAAAATATAATTTTCTTTGGTTTTAAATCGAGAGAAGAAGCAATAAGAACATAATAGATGTACAGAAATTTTGAATTATAATGGAGCTTTAATGGATAATAAATATATTTAAACTGAATTACTGAATATTTACTTACATGTACCATTTTAATACATTGAAAAAAGTAAAGCATAAACAACTATAACCGATGAAAATAACGCTCAGATTTATGAGATGAGAACTAAGAGATAACGCGGATATTCTACAAAACAGAGGATGCTAAATTAATTAAAAACATAAATATTTAACAGCTATTATCACCGTCAATTTTAGATAATATTAAAAAAAAAGTTTTTTTATTAGTATTTCAACTAAGTGCTTCATAATAATATTTTAGTATATTATTTCGAGTAAGTACCATCAATTTTATAGTGAATAATCCTCATACATAAAATCATGAAGAATAGTGTTGAAAGAATTGCACGCATTCAACGTCCATGATTTGTGGAAAAACATTTCAGTCTTGACGCACAGTTGACCGTGTTCAACACTTCAATGTGTCATTTTTCTAGTTTGTCGCTGCCAAGTTTGAAAAATAACAAACAAGCAAATAGAGTACACAAAAGTAGGGAAAACGTTTCCAAAACGATAGCGCTATTACGAGTAAGATTAGTTTTTACTTTTAGTAATGAAAGGTTTAGATCGAACAAAGACACCACCCCCTATAATAAGTTAAATAATATTTATAGTATGACTAAAATATAACGCAAACAAAACTTTTTAAATCATCAAATCTACATTAAAAAAATGTACAAAGTACAACTTTTTAATTGTGATTGGTATTATTTTCTGGTCAGACTTAAAATTTTATTTGATAATATACATAAATATTAAATATATTTATATAATTTTGAAATAAAACTAGTTTTAATTCGATAATAACACCAATATTATCTAAAAAAATGTGCTCAAGTTTTGTCAAAAATAAATAAGTAAAAATCAAACAAATATATATAGAAACTCACATTTTTTTATTGCTGTTAGAATTGGTTTTTAATTCTTATTATTAAAATTAAACCAAATCTGAACTGCGCTTTTAATATATATCCGTATTGATTTATATTATTACTATTATTTTAGTTTACAAAATGTATGTGGTATATATGTGTTTTATATAATTAAAATTTATACTAATACTTTAGTTAGTGTAATGTATAGACATATTTATTATATATAATTAAAAATAAATTATATATAAATAAATATTATATTTTACTATATAAATTTTATTTAATATTAATATACATAAATATTTTTAAATAGATAACTTATATTTTAGATTTATGATAGATAATTTGTATTATAACAAAATTTTATTTTTATTTATTGATAATTTATTTTAGAATATTAATATTTAATTTATAAATATTTTGGATAAATAAAAATGAAATTAGATAAGAAGCTAAAAAAATCTATACAAATTTTCTTGTTTAAAAAAAATTCTTATAAACACTCTCACATAAGATAGATGTTCGTGTTTAATATATAGTAAATTTTTTTTTTTTTAGAAAAGCATGCAAATGCATCATAATAGAGAAGGAAATTCTAATTATATATGTTGGCACATTAAACTGTACCAATGATTTATAGCACGCCAAGATTGTAATATTTATAAGTGTCCATTTTCTTAAAAATTGTAAGCCTTTTGATAATTATCCAACTAGGTTTAAAAGAAAATGTGTTTTATTAATTTCCTAAAATATTGTAAGAATCAAAAGGATATGTAAATAGCATAACGACCCGTCATGGTCTCTATACTTAGTGGAATCGCACTGCTGCTAGCAAACTAAGAGAAATATTTTTTAAATTTATTTTGAATCAAATCACCTAATGATTCTAAAGGTTATAAACAGATTTAGAGTTAGTTGAACAAATTCTTGAACCTAATGTGTGAACTTTGATTTAGTAAACTAAAGAATCACCTAATGATTTCTTAAACCCTAAAACCTAAACCCTAAACCCTAAGAATTTTTAAAGACAAGGAATTGATTTAAAATGATCTAGGCAACTTAGCTTGTATCACATAATCAACGAAAAATATACACAAAATAAGGCCGATCATTTTGTCCTATATCAAATTCATGTCTATTTAACACTCACTCGACTATGTGATATAAATTGTCCTCGAGGTTCCTATGTTGTACACCCTGATTCTGGTGAATTTGATTTAACATTCTTCAGGCATTTTTGTCTCGATTTGTTGCCTCATCTACCATGTTATGATTATCAATTCCATTCCTATTAGTGCTATTTGTTCTCGAGGACTGATTATCACTCGATTTGTCTCTTATCTTAGTTATCAAGTCATATAAGGGAGTTAATACATTATGGTCTGAGTTGATAATAAATTTACCATGTCAGGATTACTATGGTTCATTTTTTGTTGAAGAGTCATCATAGTCTAATTACTTATATCCATAGGCATATAACTACCTTGTTGAATCAATGACCATTCTTAACTCGTACCCACATGTTGGTAAGGATCTTGCATAACAAACCTTATTTTTCTAGGGGTCGCATTATACCCATAAGACTAACAGCCATTTCAGGATTTGGCATAGGGTAAGGTACTGACATTTCTACACTTATAAGCTAGGTAGCCCTCCAGTTTGAAGCCATGCCCCATGGGTATTCTCGAGTAGTGTTCACAACTTCTTATGACACATTTGCTAATCCTGCAGTATTAGTAACATTTATAGGAGGTGGAGAAATTGTCCTTGTGGTTACATTTACCATTACATATACATTTTTTTGATTAGGGTTCCTATTTTCTACATTTCAATGTTTTTCATTGTTCATATTTACTTGACTAGATGTAGACATTGTTCTTCCACTCCTAAGTATAAAACATGCTTATAACTAGTCCAATTATGTTTGAATTAGTACAAACGAGTCCCACAGGGAGTGCCAATTTGTCTGCGGGGATTTTTGTTTATAGATCCTTCTTGTTCAAACTAATAAAGTTTTCAATCCAGATATGTGTAGCAAGTGGTGTTTCCTACGTATTTCTCGATTATGATCACTAATTAATTTTGCAACTATAAAGATTAAACCAAATCAAATGAATTTTGTATGCATAAGACACCCATATTCAATTATGTACGTTCTTAGCATGCAATAAATTTTCTAGAAATGAATCTCATACACATAAAATATAAGTGACTATATTGAAATAAACAAGCTAAACTAATTGAGATTCAATTTTATGTATTTTAACGTGCAAAGATTTCCAGATGTTCTTCAATTATGACTACCACAAAACAAGATTCATGTATATAGACACTTAAGTAAATAGAATGAACAACACGTGCATTAAGTACAATAATCATATCCTTTACTTCAAATAGTTCGTGAATTACAAGGCATGAGATTCTGTGAAGAAATAGAGATACTAAACTATGCTAAACTAAGCTAAGAAAGAAAAGAAGATGGCCAACAAATTATACTCAATAATCTCGTGCACGGGAGCCATGAATATATGTAGGCAATGAATGTGTGTGAGTGTATAAGTATTGAATTCATGATCCTCATGAATGAGCCTGATTGTTTATTTATGGAAAATAGGGAAGAGGAGATTATTTTGCACTAGTTCGACATGTGATATATAACCACTCCGCATTATGTGACGCAGGTAACCACTTTCAACTACTGTTAACCTCTCGCAGCTGCCCTCTCGATTTCTTAATACATTACCGAATGATTTCTTTGAGGTCTTTAGTCATTATATCAAACCTTTCTCTGTTTTGAGCATTACCTCGTTTTTGAAACCCTCTCCATCTTTTTACTCTTTTTCGATTTTATAAAATTCGACTATCTTAAAATTTTACCCAAATACATATATAAGGATTTGTTAACTTATATCCATTTATTTTTTAAGAACAATTTTTGTGCATTTTAAAAAATAATAATTATAACTTAATAGTTAAAAAAAAAAAAGTGGGTGTAAATTAGTAAAAAAAAATTTCTCTCTCATACACACTCGCTCACTCACTTGGTGAGGGCATTTGTCCCAAGAATCACAAAGGTGGATCCGTCCCCGTCAGTGACACTCACGAATCAATGAATTATTACATTGTTCTAAATTATCATTTCAATTTCAATAATTTAAATTTATTTGTAATGTCTTTCTTTGTTATTTATTCTCTAAACTTTTTCGCTTTTTAACCTTTATTTCTTCTTTAAACTTACTCTTTCATTTCTTAATATTTTTTTCTTCTCTAAACTCTTAACTTATTTACATTTCTGCAATCTATTTCTCCCTCATACGAATTGTAATTTTAACTTTTCTTATCTTGCAAGTTGAAAACCAATAGATTAACACCGAGAATAAAAAGAATTTACACTCTTTTTAAAAAAATTTAGTCGTACTTAAAAAATTATTTGTATTCAATTTTCAAAACTAATTCCACTGAAAATAACAGCATGACATTTTATCATCATTATTCTTTTAAAACTGAATATTAAAAGAAATAATAAAAATAACGTTTTTATAAAATCATGAAGAATAGTGTTGAAAGAATTGCACGCATCCAACGTCCATGATTTGTGGAAAAACATTTCAATCTTGAGGCACAGTTGACCGTGTTCAACACTTCAATGTGTTATTTTTCTACGTTTGTCGCTGCGAAGTTTGAAAAATAACAAACAAGCAAATAGAGTACATAAAAGTATGCCAAACGTTTCCGAAACGATAGCGCTATTACGAGCAACATTAGTTTTTATTTTTTAGTAATGAAAGTTTTTTTTTTAATCCTTTTCGCAATGAAAGGTTTAGATAAGTTAAATAATATTTATAGAATGACTAAAAAATATCTGCAAACAGAACTTTTGAAATTATCAAATGTACATAAAAAATTTCTAATCAAACTTAAAACACTACTACAAAAATATCATTTTTTTACAAATTTTTCTGAGAAAAATATTCACATAAATTTTTTGCGAAATTTTTTGCAAAAAAATATTCGCAGAAATTTTTTGCAAAGAATAATTTAAATTAATTGGTAACATTTATTGTTAAAATTGTTATAAAAATATATAATTAAGAAAAATTAGTAACATTTTGTTACATGTTGGCATATAAATGTTACTAAATGTGGTATATGTAATAGTGAGCAGACATTTTTTATGAGGTTTAAATTTTGGATAAGTCATTTGAAAACAATAAATTTCTCTAAATAGAACATACCATCTAATTTCTGGGAGAAGTAATTATGGTATAAGTCAAGGTAGAAACTAAAGAAATAAGGAAAGAGGAGAATCAATATGCTCAATGTTTATCTTGATGAAAGCCGGTATGAGTGTGTTGGAACAAGAGATATACAATGAAGTAAATACTTCTTTGAATTAGCATTAGCAAGGATAAAGAACGGAAAAAGTAAATTGTAACAATCAAATTCATGCCAAGTTGTACATTTTTTGTCAGAAGATTCTTGGTTTCCATATCAAAAGGAATCACTAAATTATATAGCCAAAGCTGAGCAATAAACACAATATAGAAGTTCAAAGAAGTTATTAGAATATGTACCTGCTATGTTCTACTTCTAGCCTTTGAGCCACCTATGGCATTTAGTTGCCTTCAGTTGAACCATTAGAAATATATAGTCAGTCAGATTGTTCAAGAATCTCAGGTAAGCATTTCTCCATTGTTGCCAAAGTAGTATTGACCCCATTAAGCACCAAAAGCCTGTGAAGAATCCTAGCCCCAAGCTCATATATAATGCTTCATGGAAAACTGAATTGTCATCTTCACTATGCAATTCATGTCCTCGAGGCTGTACTATTTCCCCGTCTCCAGGACAACTTTTGTTAATTTGTTCACCACAAAGACCAATATTTCCTTCGAAACTAGAGGCATCAAAGTTTTGCAATTGTCTTCCCCAGGGAATTCTTCCAATAAGATCATTGTTTGATAAGTCCAACATGGCAAGACGATCAATTTTGGAAAGAGTAGACGGAATTTTGCCAGAGAAATGATTTCTTGACATGTCTAGAAATTCAAGCCAATTTAAATTCCCCATTTCAGAAGGAATTTCTCCATCTAATTTGTTTCTTGATAAATTTAAAGAAACTAATCCATGTAAATATCCAATCTCTTTTGGTATTTCACCTGTTAAGTCATTACTTGAGAGATCAATGCTCTTTAGAAGAATCTCAGGATTCCAATACACATATTCCTGACCTTTCCACATCAATAACACGTTAGAGTCATAAATTTGATAGTATGTCACTCTAGATGTCATTTGTCGATCCCTAACCATCTCTCTTGTTATTACTTCCCTTTCCATCAATGCAGTAAAATTCTCCAGACATGTAGGAATTCCTCCTGACAAAATATTCCTTGAAAGGTCCAAAAGACGAATTTGGCTCAAATAACAGAGATGTACAGGAACATTTCCAATGAAGCGATTTAATCGAAAGCTTAAGATTTCCAATTGTTGTAAATTTTCTCCAATCCATGAAGGAATTGGACCAGACAACAAATTTTCACTCACATCTAATATATTTAAACGACTGCAGTTCTTCAATGTGAATGGTAGATCTCCAGTTAAACTGTTGTTTCTTAAGACCAAAGCTTCTAAATTAGCAAGAGTACTCATGGATTGTGGTATCTCCCCTGACAATTTATTATTGCTCAAATCAAGATATCGTATGGAATTTAGATGTTCCCAACAGTCGGGGAGTTGTCCCATTATTTGATTATTTGACAAATCCAAAATTTCCATTTTTGTGGTTGGGTTTTTTTCGCACAAGAATGCATTTATATTTGTAATCTTATTTTGGGAAAGATCCAATGCGTAAGCTTGTGACAAAAAAGAAGGAATTCCACCTTCAAGTTGATTTGAATTTAGAATTACAAAAGTATTATCATTAGGAAGCTTGATAATGATCGGTAAATTTGGAATTATACCTTTGAGACTGTTGTGAGACATATTCATCCGCCTTATAGACCGTAACTTGTTCCAAAACCAATCTGGTACAGAGTCATCAATCCCAGCATTAGAAATATCAAGAAAGTTCAAGTATTTTTGTGTCTGAAGCCAAATTGGGAAACTGGGACCTAACTTGAAAGAAGCTAGTCCCAAACTAGATAATTGGAAAGGTGGAACCCATGTAGTACCACACTTTAGAGACAATAAGTTGTCTGATAAGTCTAAGTCCTCCAATTTGGTCAAATTTGTGAGATGGGATTCAATGATATCACCAGTTAATTGATTATTGGAAAGATATAATCCCCTCAAAGATGTAAAAATTGAAAAATTAGGTAGCATGCCAATAAACCGATTATAAGATAAATCCAGATACAAAAATATGTGTCTGTTGCACCACAAAGAATTTTGAATGATGGTGGTTATTTCCCCACTCAAGTTGTTATTGTCAAGGTATAAAAACTGCAATGTGCATATATTCCCAATGGAAGCTGGAATCTCACCTTGGAGTTTATTATCAGAAAGGTATAGATATTCAAGAGAGTTCATTACTTTCCCAAATCCTTCTGGAATAGGACCTTCCAAGAGGTTTCCACCAAGCCCGAGGCTACGAAGATTGGTGGTGATGTTGGAAATCCAGTGGAATACAGCTGATGATTTCAATAGATTATCCTGGAGTTCGAGGATGACAAGAGAAGATGAAGAATTTTTAATGGAAGCAGATGTCACCCGTGTTAAGGTGTGAAGATTGCATAATAGAAGACTTAGGAAGTAAAGAAAAGAGACATGACAACACAGTGAATACATCACAAGAAGACATTGGTGATGCATTGATTTATTGCATTAAGAGTAAGTTTGAATCCTGGATCATGGATTCTGGTGCATCTTTCCATGCTTCTCCTTACAAGGACTTGATGAAAAATTTCAGAACTGGAAATTTTGGCAATGTTCATCTAGCATATAATGAAGCTTTAGACATTGTACGCATGAGAGATATAAATCTTAGAACTTCTGCGGGCATAATATGGTCACTGAAGGACGTTAGATATATCCCATGACTCAAGAGAATGTTAATCTCTGTGGGTTGTTGGATGTTCAAGGATTTCGAGTTACATTCGGAGATGGTCAGTGGAAGGTGGTGAAAGATAATCTAGTTGTTGCTCGCGGCTGGAAGAAAGGAACCCTTTACATAATAGAATTACCTGTAGAAGAAGTAAATTCAGTCAGTGATAATGTTGGTCACTCTTCAATTCTGTGACACCAAAGACTTGGTCATATGAGCGAGAAGGGTATGAAGATACTAGTCTCAAAGGGGAAGATTCCATAACTAAAAGAGGTAAAAGTTGGTTTCTGTGAACCATGTGTGTTTGGAAAGCAGAAGAGAGTTATTTTTGCCAAGTCTGGGAGGATGCCCAAGGATGAGAAATTGGATCTTGTTCATATAGATGTGTATGGACTAACATCAATCTCATCATTTGGAGGATCACGATATTATGTCACCTTCATTGATGATTTCACCAGAAAGGTATGGGTTTATTTTTTGAAGCAAAAATCAAAAGTATTTAATACCTTTAAGAAGTGGAAAGATGCTGTTGAGAATGAGACAGGATTAAAAGTTAAATGTTTAAAGTCTGATAATGGTGGTGAATACAATAGTACTGAAGTTGTTAATTACTGTGTTGAGAATGGAATTAGAATGCTTAAAACTATTCCTGAGACACCTCAACAAAATGGTGTTGCTGAAAGAATGAACATGACCTTGAATAAGAGGGCAAAAAGTATGAGAATTCATGCAGGGTTACTGAAGACGTTCTGGCTAGATGTAGTGAGCACAACAACATACCTCATTAATTAAGGACCCTAAGCTCCCATAGGGTTCAAGATTCCTGAGGAGGAATGGCAAAGCAAGGATGTAAGGCTTTCTCATTTGAAAGTATTTGGTTGTGTTTCTTATGTTCGTGTTGGAGATGTTGACAAGGACAAGTTTGATCCAAAAGCAAGAAAGTGCATTTTTATTGGCTATGGAGCAAATGATATGGGATATCGCTTATGGGATGATGAAAAAAGAAAGATCATTAGAAGTAGAGATGTTACTTTCAATGAAGATGTCGTGTACAAGGACAAACTTGAGACAAATGCTGAAGTTGAAAAGAAACTAACAAATAAGCAAGAGGTAGTGTTAGATGACAATATAGAAGATGACATTGCAGGAAAAGGTGAGAGCTTAGAAAATAAGACAGTTGACGAGACCACTCTAGTCACTCCAATAATTGAAGTGAGGAGATCTAGTAGAGTTATTAGTCCTTCTCATAGATTCTCTCCTTCAGCAAATTACTTGTTGTTGACTGACAGTGGAGAACCTCTATGTTATCATGAGGCATTGTAGATGGATGATGCAGCCCAGTGGGAATTAGCCATGTGGGAGGAGATGAACTCACTTGAGAAGAATAAAACTTGTTGTTTGACTAACCTACCATCAGGAAAAAGGGCATTGTAGAACAAGTGGGTGTTCAGGGTCAAGGAAGAACATGATGGCAACAAGAGATACAAGGCAAGGTTAGTGGTAGCAGAAAAGAGGTATTGACTACCATTAGACTTGTGTTGAGCATTGTGTTTGCAGAGGACTTACATCTAGAGCAACTAGATGTTAAGACAACATTCTTACATGGTGACCTTGATGAGAACATCTACATGGTGCAACTAGAGGGTTTCTAAATAGCAGGGAAGGAGAACTTGGTTTGTAAACTGACCAAGAGTTTGTATGGGCTGAAGCAAGCACCAAGGTAGTGGTACTTGAAGTTTGACAGTTTTATGAGTAGGAAGGGGTACAAAAAGTGTGCCATGGATCATTGTTGTTATTTGAAAATTTTTTGTCCATCTTATATCGTATTACTATTATATGTTGATGACATGTTAGTTGCAGGATCTAATATGGATGAAATCAATAGATTGAAGGCACAATTATCTGAAGAGTTTGAAATGAAGAATTTGGGTGCTGCAAAGCAGATTTTGGGCATGAACATCAATAGGAACAGATCTGAAGGTTTCTTAATATTATCTTAAGAGAAGTATATTGAAAAATTGTTAGCGAAATTTACCATGCGGGATGCCAAGATCGTAAGTACACCTTTTGGGGTTCACTTCAATCTCACAAAGGAGCATTCACCTAAGACGGATGAAGACAAGGAAGTAATGGCTAAGCTTCCTTATGCATATGCAGTTGGTAGCTTAATGTATGCAATGGTATGCACTAAACCAGACATTGCTCATGCAGTGGGAGTTATTAGTAGATTCATGTCTAATCCAGGAAGGAAACATTAGGAAGCTGTCAAGTGGTTGCTACGCTACTTGAAAGCTTCTAAGGTTGCATTACGTTTCAGTAAGAATGATGTTGTTTTAGAAGGATATTCTGGTGCAGATTTGGGAGGTTGTTCGGACACAAGGAAGAGTACTATAGGATTTGTTTTCACAGTAGGTGGCACAACAGTTAGTTGGATGTCTCGAATTTAGAAAAGCGTTGCATTTTCAACCATAGAAGCAGAGTACATGGCTATTTTAGTTGGCCTTCATGGTTAATTGTTGAGAAGGCATCACACTAGCTTGGAGGTGTTACGATTTTGAGGTTTACTAGATTTACTTTGGAGTGCAGTTGATGTGATCAGCCTCCAAGGGGAAGATTGTTGAGTATGTGGAGTCTGAAGGATTTAGCGGGCTTGACCCATTTTCTTTCTTTCTTTTTTATAAATACTCATGTAATTGTAAACCTAATTATGAAATAGAAAATACCATCTAGTGCGACCATGGACGTAGGTTATTTTGACCGAACCACGTAAATCTCTGTCTTGTTAATTTACTTTCTCTCTTGCAATTGTGCGCGTGAGTGCATTTGGGATCCCCAACAAAGGTTCCATTGGAACACATCTTTATTTGTAAGTTCATTCAATGGTTGTGCTACCTTTACCGGTGAAACTAAGGAATATGCTAACCCTTTCACATTTTTTGGAAAAGGCCACTGAGTAACACTCAAAATTTTGCTTGGATCCATTTTCACCATTCCTATACAAATGATGTGTTCTAAATATTTGATTGTGGGTTGTAAAACCCTACGTTTTTGCAATTAGATTAATAATATATATATATATATATATATATATTATCACTCCGATCGAAAAAATGAAAGACTACTTCTTACATAAGCAAGAAGTATCAAAACAAATAAGCAATCATGAGAATGAAAAAAGTAATCATAAATAGCATCAACTAAGCTATATCATGTCTACCAATTATATTCTGAGAAGAGAAACACCTAATTAAGTACAATAACAATAACACAAAGAAAACATCATCATCATTATCATCACAAAGCAAAGCATCACCAAAGTACACAACAAGCAATACATTGTCAGAGTACACAATAGAATCATGATAGACACATAACACATATGTCTGATTTGAATCAACCAGACTGTGATACCACTAAATGTGACACCCTCTATTCCGCACATAATTCTACAATGAATATAACATAAAATTTTCATAATTAAAATAAAGTCTTCAATCTAAGCACGTAAAGGGTAAAAGGCTCACGTTCACATCTTAAACGGTTTCATAATAAAGTAAATGAAATATCAAGGTAATTTAAGTAAATAAATAACTATATCCATAATCAAAACTTCCCACCTAAACATCATCATGGAATTCATTACTGTTAGGCTAAAAGTCACCTGCAAGCATAAATGAGAACATATACAAAAATAAACAAGGTAGTGAGAAACGTCTCACTCGGGTTCAAGTGC